AAGAAAAAGATTTCGAAAGCTGTCAGCTGTCAATTCGTTTTTAGACCATTAATGCTTTTCATGAAATGGTTCACATGCGCTTTGAGTTTGATCCCTCAATGAGTGAAAGCATTTTAAATTAATAAACGGGGCACATTTTCTGTATCTTTGTTTTTTATTGGGCGCTATTTAAGTTTACGCTGTCTCAAGCGGTCTGGGGTAGGGCATTGAGTGCATCGGAGAGGATTTTAATGTTTTTGAAACCAATGCAACATATCTCCTTACAGTTTCAAACAGAAGAAGCTCAATCTTTTTTTTCATATTTCATTATTTGATTTTTTTCATTGAATTTTTTTCTTAGATAGATTCCCTTGCTATCAAATTCTGTGTAAATGTTTCTTGCATTCGATAAGCCATTCGCCACATATCAATTATTTGATATGTTATCAACACGTAATCTATGCCAAAACCTTACAAAATGAACCTGACATTTTTAAAACAAGGCAAAATCAAACATCCACCTCTCAGGCACTCTATCACTCTAAAACGCCCTCTGACGGCCTCGCTGATGGTGGCCTTCGTTTGACAGATATAATTTTGCAATCTGTAATCAGGAAACAAGATCCTCTGAGTAACAAAAACATGCGTAATATCGAATTCTTGAATGTTCAAGTGTTCAAGGGCGAATACCAATTATGAATGAAAAATTGGAACGGCCATATTTTAAACTTAATGTGAAATGTTTTCTTTACACCCGAGTGTTATTTGATAACACAAACTTAGGAAATTTTCAACACACAAGATTCATTTCTATAATATACTGAAGAAAAATACCACTAGGCAAACAATGACACATAAAAATAATTCATAAAGTAGGCAATCTATATTGAACGCGAACAACACATGAGTCTATTGAATAAGATTCACCCTCATTAGAACAAAAATGTTACTACAGGAGTCTTGATTACCTCCTGATGATGCTAACTTGGTTAGCGAAACGCGTGTAGAGAGTCAGCATTTTGTTCTGGCGAGGAACATGTGTTTTCAATAGATTTATTTCAGGCCAGAAGTTTCAAATTCTACTTATCAAGACACGAACCTAGCAAAATAAGGGTCAGAATAATAAGACAAACGAATATTCACGATAATGATGGAACAGATTGATTTTATTATGACCCTAGACTTATGTAAATATAAATATATACAATTGTTGTATATGTTCCAGTCAAAACAAAGGTAAATATTTTATTGTTCCGAGCCAAAGACAAAAAAAATAGAGAAGGTACTTCACAGTCTCACAGCCAATACGCCAATCAAAAATGGGAGAAAACAAATATCAATTTATTATTATTTTATAACATATTTGTTTCTTTACTGGATCCACTTAAATATGAAATGAAAATAAAAAAATGTACCAATGGAAAACGTTGTTACCAGTGACGTCTATGCTATTAACCTTAAATCCGTTGAAGTTTGGAATTTGAAAAAGTTGTGTCGGTTGAAATCGTTGAAAATTTCAAAAAATTGAGATCATGGACATGAAGAACAAATATGGTTTTTTCTACCGAACATAATATATTCATTTAGACAAACATATTTTTCGTATTTCAACGAACGTCAAGTTTGAAACTTGCAAGAAATTAGCAATAATGGATTCCTTCAAAACTCCTTTAAGAAATAAAAAAGGCAATTTGATACAAATACCTGCATCTCCTTTCATGAAGAAAATAGGTTTTGGCACAGGTAGGGATTCGTAATAGTTACTTATTTAAAATAACATATCATAAATCTATCAGCACTTCTTTGATTCACCTATGAGGTAGATTGAAACTATTTCGGTCATCAAATGTTCAATCCTCTTTTCGAATGGATCATATATATGGATATAAACACATACTTACATTAAATATTTAAACAGTACAAGCATAACCTCATTTGTTTTCACAGGATATACTTACTGCCTAGAAAATTGCTATGTGAAAAAAGTTATTCATTAAGTGCACTTGTTTTTGTTGTGAGGATCAATTCAATATAAATACATCATAATTATTTCAAACTAACAATCAAAAAATCATTGCATTTATACCTATCAGAAAACAGGGTGGACAAAACTTTATTTATTACCTGAACTCAAATATATTCATTTACCATTTTTTCAATTTTTATTATTATGTGTGTTTCAATTGTTAGAGAGTTTGTTGCAAAGTGTTTCGTATTGTTAACACTATGCCTCAAGTGCGAAGACTTCCTCGTATTCCTCAACTTAGTGATTTTGAGAGAGGACGAATTGTTGGCTTACGTGAGGCAGATTTTTCAGTTAGAGAAATTTCAAGAAGAACCAATCGATTTTTGCGTAATATTCTGAGATGTTATCAGTCATGGACCCAAGAAAGCCAAGAACAGAGAGCTGGTTGTTGGAATGCGCTCAGTATATCGGCGAATAAGAAGTTTTAGATATTTTCCTTATCATCCTCATTGGGTGTTGCCACTGACTCTAGAGCATCGACGCACTGTCGATGCTCTAGAGCATCTAGATCCCAATTAATTGCACTGGTGCAAAGACAGAATAAATTGGGATCAACAGTGGAACCGCGTAGTCTTCAGTGATGAGTCTCGCTTTTGTTTGGGTATGCGCGATGGTCGAGCAAGAGTAAGAAGGTGTCGTGGTGAAAGACGAGATCCCCAGTTTGATGTGGAGAGGAAAGTTCACAATACTGTTGGTTTAAGGGTATGGGGTATCATTGCCTATGGTAGCAGGACACCTTTAGTATTTATTAGAGGCAACATGACAGCTCTTCGTTGCATTCACGAAGTAGTGGAGCCTCATGTCCTTCTATATCTTGAGACCATCGAGAACCCCATATTTCAACAAGACAACGCTAGATGCATATGGCTAGAGTAACTCTAGACTTCATGGATCAGCATGACATTAACCGCTTACTATGGCCACCCAGATCGCCCGATCTTTCACCGATTGTACATATGTGGGATATTCTGGGTCGCAGACTGCTGAATTTACAACAACCCCCACAGACGTTGGCAGCACTTAGACATGAGTTAGAAGTAGGGTGGAATGAGATACCCCAACAGGATATAGACCACCTTATGAGAACAATGCCCAGACATGTCCACGAGTGTATAAAACATCGAGGATCTGCAAAACACTACTGAACTTCACTGGCTTCACAATCATCCAATTTCTCTATAAATTTACTCTTTTGTTTGCTATTATCTGTCAAGTAAGTTAGTAAAAAATTATTAAAATACTTTCAATATAAATGGGGGTTTTCCTTTCTTTGTCACTTAGTATATTTATGAAATTTGAATCGCATATTTTTATGATTGAATTTTAATTTAAAATTTCTCATGAAAAATTGGAGCGACAAATGAGTTTCTCTTCTACCGTGTAAACCACTTTACAACTAGGTGTTAATACATTTATTATTATTGCATATGCAAAACGCAGAATCTCATTTCAAAAATGTTATAATAATTTTTTGTTATGGTTCTGGAGTAGTTTATTTAATATGAAAATTATCGTTCAGTTGCTGAGCATCTTGAGAATTATCATGTTTTTTTTTCAGAAACGGTATCTACCCTCTTACGGCTTTCGGTGCCAAACAACCCCCACCAGCCCGCTCCAGGGCGATATCACCGGAAATGGCGGAATCCGTAAAATCCGTCACCCCCGAACCAACTGATGTAGAAACTAGGAAAATTATTAATATGATGTGTGATGTTAAGTCCAAAGAAGAAAGCTGTGATTTATTGGTGAGTTATTGTAGATATCATGTGCTATCATTATCAAAACATGAATGTTTTGGTTATTTTGCAGTCGTTTGACATGTATTTTTCGAAACTAGAACCAGATCAAATAGTTGGAACAGTTTCAATTCTACCATAAGGCACGGTTATGTCTTACCTGTTTTTGATATATTTTTGGTTTTTATTCGTCATCATCAAACGTCATGGGTCAAGAATAATTATTATTCAAATGCATATTTGTCATAAAAATTGAAGTGAAGCGTTTCTACAATTTTGATGATTTTCATTAACTTACTTTACACGGTTTTAATCAAGTCTTCTTGACAACAAATTCATCAATATGCGAGAACTTTGAATAAAACCCACTATTGAAGTAGTGAATAGGTACTTTTTCATTAACTTACTTTACACGGTTTTAATCAAGTCTTCTTGACAACAAATTCATCAATATGCGAGAACTTTGAATAAAACCCACTATTGAAGTAGTGAATACAAAGAAAATAGGTTTTTTCCCAGGTACTACTTCATAAAAAGGCGATTTTTGCAGATATCAGTGGTCTGTGGGGAATTATTCGTAAATTTGAAAAGGAAGGACAACCTCATTTTTTTATTATGAACGGTCTGACCCTTTACTTGATGAAAATTAACAATATTATTATATTTCTAGACGCGTTTTGCTAACCTCGTAGCTTCATCGGTAGTAATAAATAGTACACACTAGACTACCGATGAAGCTACAATGATAGCGAAATGTTTGATTATGATCATAGACACCCATTTTTTTAGTCGTTATCTAATTACTTATTAGCATATTGATAAAATTATAGCAATGACAGCATATAATAAACAGAAAAACTCTTTACCACTTTACATCACAATAAATTACAACATCAAAGTCTATAGGAAAAAAAGGTTTTTGGCTTTCTACTTCTCGAGCTTTGTACAAAAAAAATGTGGGAACCTTTCGAAGACAGGAAGAAAGCAATTCATTTCAAATTGAACTCTTTACAAAGATGTGTAGATCATGCAAAGAAAAAAGTTTCAGATACAAACTGGAAGAAAATGCCCTTTTGAAACAACCACTTTTATGTGAACATTGAATTATACAAAAAACAATTTTTCTATTCAATTTGTACTCCAAACAATTGAATAACTGCCAATTTTGAATGTAAAACAATTTAGCAATTTTTCAATGTTCCTTAAAGTCATCATCAGAATTAATTATTTTTGAGTGATTTTTTCATTATTTCTTTCAGTTGACTATTGTACTACGAATGGATGATAAGATGAATAGGCAGTTAACTAGTTGTATATCACCAGGGGACAGTCCAAGGCTCTTAGCACAGGAATTAGTCCATTACGGTTTTATCAATGAAGTAAGTATTTTTTACAAGGTTTTATTAGGTTTTCTCAATATCTTATAATGTACATTGGGCAGAAATATCACCAACATTGTATGTTGTACTATGTTGAAATGTTATTTTCCTGTTTGGAAATTCATTAGAATAAATGGATATATATTTATGTGATAAGATTCTTCCTAACATATGTAGAGATTAAAATTTAACAGTAATATTTTCGTCCAAACCGGATATGAAAAAGACATGCTTGGCTGTATCTAATGTATAGGCAGATATAGCTGACGGATAAATGTCCTCATAAGGTGGGAAATTTGCACCTTGAACATCCGACAACATCAATTGATCAACCAACTGGATTGTCTTCAGAATGCCATTATGGTCACAGGCAACTTGTTTTCCAAGCCACACATTCGTGTTGATTAGTTGCAGACTGACTGCCGCTCAGATACTCACCAGATTAAGGAAAATGTACCATGGTCTATGAACGTTGGAGTGGATTATTGTTCATGAGGAAATTCAGGCTCTGGTAGCAGAGAACATACTCTGTGCGTGCCCAGATGCGGGTCCGATCAGATTTTCAGTGTTCAGCACATTTCCCAGCTGACCTGAGAAATCACTCAACAAATAAAGTTACTGACTGTTGTGGAGCTGGATTTATTTGATCTAGTTTGAACAGGTATGAGCCACCATTAACCCCTGTAGCTTGCAGTGGAGGGATGAATAGACCCACTCACTTGAAACTACCTTCCTAGTTGATAGATTTCTTAAAAACAAATCAGGAAGTCAAAACATGGACATGGACAAATGTTCATATAATTATGCTAACACAGAAGTAATCATGGACATTACCCTACAAAGACTCCATCACGAAGATTGATATAAAGCTCAAACGAGATGTGTACTCTGTCACTTTTTGCAGCTTTCACCAGAAGGCCACTAGTTGCTGATCTCAACTGTCCTTAAGGGCAAGCCTGAGTAAAACAAGGCGATGATTCTTTATAAACATGCTATCTATGCGATTGTCAGCAAACTTAATAAACAAATATACAAACTTAATGAGGCTGTTAAAGGCGGTCTGTTACAAAGCCACACTTCGACATCGACTACTGAACGAGATTCGCCCTCTGTTATTGTCTGTAGATTTCACTGCAAGGCAACTATTTAAAACCAGAACTTTGTTTATCTTTGATATTCATGGATAGAAACTTCAGTTTATTCTATAAATGGCGTCTTCGTAAAGTAAAATTTTGTGCTTGTTATCACACTCCTATATCTGTATTAATTCTAAGAACATTATTTGGCAAGTATTTGGTAAAGTTTTTAAAATTACTCAATTTGTATGAAAATGATCTGTCATATTTTGAGTTTTTGTCTTTGTATTCCACGTACTTTAATATCACCTGAAGCAACTCATTTATGAGGGGAATCAACATTATATTCATTCACATATTTTTTCGTGTAGAAACCACTTTTTAGGACCCTATAGATGATTGGAATACCAATAAGTATTTTCTTCTTTAATTTTAGGTTGACCGAGAAAAAATAGCCAATCTGATAGAAGAGTCATTACACAATACAACATCGGGCAACAGTAGTCCTACGCACACGTTTCCAACCCTCTCCACCATACCGATGTTGGCGACAGTATCTGCAGTGCCCCAAACCATCACGAATTCCCTGCCTGCCGTGAACGTGGCCTCCACTCAAGTGCCCATGCACTCTACGAGTTAGTAAACTGCCATTTCGCATCTTATTATCGCTAATATTAAGACAGTGCTAGACTGCCGAGTCCCGAACCTCGAAAAGGTCTCCAACGGGGCTGTATACTTTAGGAAGAAAACTCGAGAAGACTGTTCTTTTTTAAAATAGTATGTTGGACATCGCGCTAGTCAAGTGACCACGTGTTGAATCTGTGATCAGAGCTCCATTTTTTGACGTTTGACATATGAATTTGAAATGAGGAAGGATAATAAGAATAGAGAATTGGACTGGTTCACATAGAATTGTCGAGATGTATGTGATCTGTTTTGTTTTTATCGAAGCAGAATGATGAGGTTTTTTATCTGAGCGAGCTATGCTATATCTAAAATAGGGCAACTTGTAGAGGGAATCTCTGGAACAGGAGTCTGATCTAAAAAGCTTGCATCAAAAGTTCAAAAGGCTCCAAACAATATGCGGTTGTACCTACAATTTCTAGTTTCTCAAAAAATCAGTTTCCAGTTTTTCCTCAAGAGGCCCCTGTAATATTTAGCTTCCGTTTCCGTATAGGTATCCAAATACTCGTTGTTGCAAATTTATTATTGTTTGCCCTTTGAGACTGATATAACATTAAAAAAATTAGCTAGAGGAATAGTCTTATCAAGTCAGGACCAATCTGAAGTTGCTGACCAGGTTACAGAGAGTCTATAGATTTGCATGCAGTGTGATTTCGTCATCATAAAGTCAGAGAGCGTTCAAAGGCTTTGGATCCTGAGGTTTATTTGTGGAGGATTCATAAATAGGTTGGAGGGATTGGAAGTAATGATCTAATAGAATATGATCGTATACTTCGATTTATTTTCTAGGATTCCAAATTGGATTGAACATTCAAAGATTTCTGTTCAGCACCTGCAGAGTTTGGGAAGTGATCTCAATAAAGATTTTTTTTGTTTTGTCACTTTTATAAATCCTCTTTAGGAATGAAGTCATTTTATTGTACACAAATACAAACATTAAAAATTAAATTTTGAATTAATTGGTTTTTGTGGACACTATAGGTTTTTGATTTTCTAAATGAAGGCTTCTCTACTTTGTGCTGTCAGGGGTGTTAAAATGGTAGTGATATGCAATAATTTGTTATTGTGGAGAAATCGTCTAATTCGGTAATCCTAATTACAGATTCTATCAATCTTTTGTTCAAGCTGCCTAGAAAAGGGTTGTACAAAGTCTAATATATTTCAGTAACTATATTCACACCAAAAAATTGTTAGTAGAATCGCCACGAAGAAGTTGTTTTTGGGGATAAATTACTGATTTTTGTATTGTTTTGCTTTTCAAAAAAATTATAAACTTTTTTATTGCTTTGAAATGAATGTTGGTGGATAACAAAATGTTCTAATCAATTATTAGTATATTCTTAATGACCGTTCAGTGTAAGTATGAATAATAACTGCAAATATACCTTGATATGTACAAAAAGTTTAAACATGCAGTTTTTTAGAATAGCAAGGAATCAGTTCACATGAAAAGTGAACTTTTTCACATATCAAGAAATTTACGTCAGTACATATTTTTGGTATACCGTTATTGAAAATATATTACTAGATACCAATGTTATAAATTAGAACACTCGTTTGCATTTTAAGGTAGTGAAAAAGTATTTATTTTCAAAGAAAATAATGAATAGTAATAAAAAAACTGGTAACCTCTCCCCAAAAGTAGGGTTGTTGAACTTTTTACACTTCTTGACCGTGGTTCTACTGATAATTTCTCAGTGTGTGATAAAATCGTATTAGTTATTTGAATATTAAAGTTTGCATTTGTGTATATTAAAGTTTCTTTGAAAAAAAATCTAGTTCAATAAAGTATTCGATTGATTTAATAAAAATTTTCAGTGAAAATCAATTTTAGCTGCATGAGACCATAATGAATATCTGCTTCCATGAGCTTTTTTTTGTATCTCACACAGCCTTGAGACCTTGAACGTTATCAAGTTTAGATGGCCTTAGACATCTCTGCACCGATTTGACTATCAAAGTAAGGAACTGGTACATTTCAAACTCTTCACTAGATATTGTCTTCAACGAAACTGCCATTAATTTGGCTCAGTTTGGTCTAATTATTTGCCTACAGAAAGGTAAGTGTTTGAAATTTGACTAGTTCAGTATAAATTGAGATTTTATAGCGGCTTGAATGAAAACTTTCAAAAATATTTAACACCAAAACTAAAATGGATTTACAGTTAAATGAAATAATTTCCTTGATTTCAACTTGGATGCCAAGGTTGTACATCATTTCAGATACACTTTTCATCTGTGGGCAATCGATTTATTATTGAAAAATTTATTATTTGAAATTTTTAGTATTCTCCAAAAATCTGGAATTTGTTTTTTCTTCCTCAAATGTTCAGTGATGGAAAATGACACAGGGTATCTGAAGCTCAGATTTCTTTTCAATACCTTATTGAGTACTCCATATGTGCAATAAAAACTTCTGCTGGGTTTGTTAAGAGGTCCCATGTGATATTTCGCTCAAAAACTAGTTTGGCTGATACTAACTCATTAGTTTGTTACTTTCGTTAATTTTGCATCAAAATTCCTAGTAAACAATTAAGTTTCTTTTAGTCATTGCATTAAGAAATATATTTTCCTTTCAATTTCTTGAAACACTCACTTTTTGCTTGCTACACAACCGTCAAATGAAAAACATTGTTCTTCCTTAGAAAAAATAAACAATATGAACATTGAGAACACAACATGCAGAGTTTGTTATTTATTATGTTTAAAATACGTTTTTTATTTATCTAATAAATGTTATATTTTTATAAAGGTGGTTTTTTTACAGCTTATCCCAAGCACTTTGTTCAGTTGAATGATGTGAGTTTGCTTTTCTAATGTACTATTATATTTGGTCTGAGATATATTCTAGTTCATAGGTACCCAAACTTTTCTTTATCATAGACCACATTCAAAATTTTGCTGGTTCCGGTGGACTCCATGCAACTACATTTCTACCATATTAGTTAATTGATTGTGGCATGAGTGGATGTGAAAAAAGTGAAATTGGTCAATCAAAAAAATTATTTCAATCAACTTAACTTTTTTGACATACAGTATAAGAAACCAATCAATTCTCACTTATTTTATTTCGAAAACTCCCCATTCCGTGTGGTAAAAGAAATACTAGTATTTATATTGGTGAAGAATCAAACAAGTTCATGTAAGATTGCAAGCACACACGAGTTGTATTTTGTTCCCTTTGCACGTCTGAACAAGCGTTGCGAACGGCGGCGGCGGCGCTTTGCAAGTCTCGACATGTACTAAATATGGAATTTGTCGCTGTAACAGTCGCTGAGCTTCTTAAAATATCTGCCTACATTGATAGGCGGAGTCAAACCAACATTTAAGTTTTTCACTATCGAACCCAGATGAATTTTCGTGGACCCCCGCTTACGAATTGTCAACCCCCATTTTTTTGTCACGCCAACGTAGACGCCAGTCGAGTATCTCGTAGACCCCTGGGGGTCCATCTGGACCGCTTTGGGAATCACTCTTATAGACATTTCACGTTTTCAGTCTCTAGTAATTCTAGAAACTTGACATAACTTTCAATTGATATATCTTGCTTTCAGTGGAATTTATATGAATTGGAACATTTACAAAATCGCTTCCATTCAGTTCGAAAGACCTTATAATCGAAATGAAGTGATACTTGTATGTGGTTTTGCCAGAAAGTTATTATGTAATAGTCGACTAAACGCCTTCCAGAATCTACAAATTTCATGAGACATTCAAACAATAGCGTTATGCCGGCAAATCTTTACTCAATAAGCTATTGTAATTTCCCAGGTTACTAGTCTTAGGATTTCGCGAAACATGAAAAGAAATGTTGGTGTTTCTATTCTCAAAGATAAAAAATTGGGTTTATATATTTACTGAAGTTTGAAAATATATATCAAATAGCAATTTTTGATTGGGTTCTCTTTGGACAATGAATGAATACACAAGTGTTCAATTTTTCAAATTACCGTTTTGTGAAAGTTTGTCTATCTGTGCAAGGTTTACTGATTTTTGTGAGCCTTTAGAAAGTTGATGGAAGTGATAGATCATCAATTATGAGAAGGCGTTATTTATAAATCATGATGTGAGTGAGAATGTAGCTCTTTTGTTTTCTCTTCCACATACTTAAGGAAAAAAACTTCAAATCCCAGCCCCGTTTTTATTGTTCTAAAAGTGATTACTCCAGAAATTGGTGTTTTCCCCTCACCGATTATTCAGTTAACATTTTTTTACTGGCTACCATTCAAAAACTATTCTACGAAACAATACTTGAATGCCACTGCATGTATTTTTGAAAACTACGAAAAAAATGGTATTCTGTTGAGGGTCTTCACAAGTTTTTGATCGAGTGAATTAGTTAGACGTTTTTTGGTACTGGATGAGTGCAGAAACAAAATATTTGTTGTGACAGAACAGACGTAAGGTAAACTGACATTATTACGGAGTAGTACGTAATTACGGAAGTTTTTGATTTTTGCCATAAAATAACAAATACACAAAATATAATGTGACTTTTCATTACCATATATCAACCATATCTATCCTTGAAGCAAAAGAGCCCTACTGCAAAAACATCAACCTTATATTGCTATCAGCAACGATATAGTAATCAGTCAGTAGTCGAGTGGACCGCGATATAGAGCAGACGTACTGTTGACGAGTAAGGTGTCTAAATGATTTTCATAAGACTTCAGTGAGTTGTGTGTGATTATATTCAATATAAATAAATTATATTATTGAATACTTTTCATGAACGGAATATATTATAGCTATTTTCGATTATTATTAT